TAGAAATGTTGCTCCAAAAGCTCCAGAGAGCCAACTTTTTTTTTTTTATAGCATCAGAAATCAGCAAGAGTCAGCTGTGAAAGCGCAGTCCACTTCTACTGACTTCAGATACTGTAAGTATATTATTTTATTTCACTGTGTAGAAACGTACTGACAGTACAGACATTAAGGGGTCAAATGCCCTTGGTTATATTTCTGCTGCTATGAGACTATATACAGTAATCACAACACATTCTCATTCCCAGGGCGTCAAATGCTGATATTCTGTACCTTTAGCATCTCATACTGACGTTAAACAGTGCCTTTGGTGTCCATTTAAGACGCTTGAGGTTGCAGAAATGAAATGGTTATGTTTAGGCTGGGTTTAGGGAAAAGACTGTGAGTTGGGTTAAAACAGTCATCGATTAAAAAGTGTAGCGTCACACACCAGAGTCTAACGTCCAAGTATGATGTTTGTTCGACCCATCTATTCAATCACCTCCTTTCAACCTTTTCCCCATTATCTACAGAATGAGAACCCTGTGTGTCTCCCACAGATGCCAAGGGCACACTTAACGGTCCTTATGCAGAAGGTAACCAGACAAAATGTCAGCATTTGACGCCCTGAGAATGAGACCAGGCTGGTAATCAACATGATCTGCTGACTTAAGATAAAGAGAATGAAAACAAATGTGGCAAAGTTAGACGAACTGAATGAAGAGGCCAGTCTGAAGAGGAGGATGAAATTCTGTGAAATCGTCCACTACACTGTAGAACAAAGGCACACAGACGAATACTCTATATTGTCAGGAGGGCCATCTGCGCACCTATATTGTGAGGGCACACAGGGAACGAAACGTGGACAGTTTCATCATTTCATCAATCACTGATGCAATGCCAAACCTGAGACGCGTTCACCTGGCTGCCCAGGAAAGGTGAGAAAGTATGGCTCCAATCACACCTGATCTCATCTTATAATTTATTGTAAATAAAAGGGTGCTACACAACACAGGAGCCACTGACCCTGAATAAGCCATATTAGCTCAATGTTTTCTTCCTATCTAACGTCTCCAACATGAACACACATCCTGTGCTTCACTTGTTAAACCTTCACCAGAGAAAACTCCAATGTTAATATCAGTTTGCAGGTTAGATAGCTTAGTAGCTGCTCAACTGCAGCACATTAAACAACATGTACACATACCTGTCACTTAGGTCCAGCTGGATGCTGTGGTGCTCTTTACTCGTCAGAGCCACTAACAAAATGCTGTCTGCTATGTAGCTGCTGTACAGTGCAAGTTTGTTTACTCTGTTGTTCCCTATGGTGGAACTTTGGCACTCTGGCAGCTACTGTCAATCTGAAACAGACACAGGCACGCCCCTCCTGCTGGTGTCAATCAAACACAGACAGTGACACGCCCCTCTGGTGGCTGTCAATCAAACATAGCCAGTGACACACCCTTCCAGCCGCTGTTATTGGGTTTCAAAACCGCCATGGCTCTGGCTTGTGCTGGGTGGGTGTGGTTTTCTTCAGCACATGAAACAGCACATGCCGCTTGTGCTGACATGAAGCCATGGCAAATTGCAGTGCATCAACAAAACAACACATAGAGTCTGATAGAACGGTGAACAGCTGCCTGTTTGTGGTGAGAAACTGTGGACACCACATCCTCCCAGCAGCCCACAACTTCTGATTATGAACCAGAAACTCTGCAGGACATGTGAATCATGCTGAGTTTGACAATTCAATCCTTGATCTAGACTGTGTAAAACTGTGATTGAATGAAATTACCCATAAAATCCCACTTGCTAGGAATGTGGTGTCCTGGTATCTGGGCTCTTTGGGGCAGTATTCAATCAGTGATACAGACTGTTCACTTTGTGTTCTAAAGCAGAAACATCATGTTGCTTAATATGAAAGAATTGCCTGTTTTCTGGAATAACCATTATCATCTGATGAAGATCAGCGTCATATTGCAGTCCCACGTGCTGCCTGCACTCAGTTTAAAAGAGTTTCCCTGCCCTTTCTGCCCGGTAACAAAGGCGGCACGCTGACACAGCAAAATGGAACACAGCCATTCAAACACAGACACAGTTCTCCAGCTACTATTAATCAAACGGATGACATGATCCTCCGGCTGTCAAAAATGAGCATTTCTGATAGCTCAAAAACTTTTTGTTTTTTTTGCTCCACTTCCAATAATAATCAAATGTATTTAAAAAATTGTGTTGACTCTATATTTGACAACAAAAGGGGACTGACAGTGTTTATTTTTTGAATTATTATTCTTTGGACATTTTTACTTTGACAGGTTGGTGGATCTGTGTCAGATACAGTAGCTAAGAGCTCTTCCACCAGCCAATAGGGACTTTTTTAAAACTAGCCAACCCAGATGTTGCTCTTTGTAAAGCCTTATAAATGATGATATATCACTGATCATGCAATGCTATTATTAATTTTAGATGTATAATTTTATTTATTTATAATTTATTAATAATTCATTCATTCTTTATAAAGCCTTTGTGTGGGCTGAGTTTTAAAATGTGGTACAGTACCATTCTTTTCATACATTTGCAATAACAAACTGGTAAATGGACTGCACTTAGGTAGCACTTTTTAATATAGTGCTTTATGATTTGTCTTTCATTTATCCATTTACACACCAGAGCTGGCCCTTCATGGCCTTGAATCAGTGTTTTGCTCGAGGACACTTGGACATGTGGGACAGAAGGAGCAAAGATTACACCACCTACCTGGTGATTAATACACAACCATCTCTACCTTCCTGAGCCATAGCCTCCTGCTAATCAGCTCCTTGGCTGGAATCAGACTGCGTGTTCTATGGCTGACTGAGGACTTTCATACCAGAGGTTTGTGGTCATGTGCTTATACCGGAGCTTTAGTGGATGGTGTAAGTAGCCATTTAGGCCATTCCATTTACATTACATTATACTCGTACATACACTATGCATTAGATATGTGTAGAGAGTAATTTCCTACTTACAAAATGTTACCTAGGCTACTATACAGTACAAGTTAATACACCATAGTTAAATTGCTGAGATGTAATCAGGCTTTTCCTCTAGAATAATACGGCAGGACACTGATTCTTTCCTCCTCTATTTACCATGTGCCTGGGCACAGTTAAAATGTAGTGGCTGAATAAGGACATTTTAAATGCCAAACATGATCAGTTTAACAGGAAGCAAATGTCATTTAGAAGGTCATTGTTTTAACTGATGTGTTAAGGTAAATACTATCGGTGATAGACTTTATTATTCATATTGAGGTGCCAATATGACAGTATGATTGTGTTATTTCTGAGCACTCTGTCTGTTTATATTTGCTATTATCTCCCTGTATGCATTGAAGGCATAAACAATAGTTTTAATCTCCTGGCTTTCCAACTGCTGTTGGTTTAAACAGAATATTTACTCTGAGGGCTACAACCACGCTATTGCTGCTGGAGCTGGAATAAAACATGAACAATACAGCAGAGGTGGGACTGGACAATCATCAAAATGCATCCGTTTATCACTGGGGCTCTGAGCAGTGGAGGGGCCAGCCTCAGCCTCACAGGCTTTACTGAGAAAATATGGTATGGCGCTATTCTCAACTGAAAAACAGATAGATGGAAATCTGTTTATGATGCACTACCACACACAAGACCAGACACACCTTTACGGCCCCACAAGCCCTTTAAGGATTCTGGCTCCAGTAGCCATTTTCTGTAGTGATGAATAAATAAAAATTAAATAAGAAATTAATTGTTTGCAGTGGCCTGTGTCGGGTATAATTGATCCAGCTACGCTGAAAGCGCTCACTCCAATGGTCTGTTATGATTTCTGGCTCAATCACATTATAGCTGCCTTTGACCTTAAAAATAACAGCCCCCTTTTGTCTATTTTTGTTTTTGTTTATGTCTGTAGGTGCAGGCATGAATAGCTGGACTTTAATCTCAAATTTCACACAGCTAAGAAACAACTTCAAAGTGGATTGGCCTGAAGGATGGAAGCAGAGAGAGAGAGAAGGCCAGAAGAATAGAGAACATCAGCATTTACGTACATGACGGGAGAGATGTCTCCAAGGCAGCAGTGGAGGAGGACATACAATATTTAAAAGGCTGGAGACTGAGACAGCCTTTGCAACACAAACTTACTTGATCTGTAACTATTACTTCAAGGGCATACCCAAGGTAAATAATATTGCTGCACACACCCACACACACACTTAGTCCAGACTTCATTAAACTAGTGTCAGTCAACAGTCAGGACAGTGGAATCCCCTTTATGATTTGTTTCCCAATGTGACACATTGCTGTGAATACAAACTGACTCTCCAGTGTGGCATCAAAGACAGAGGGCCTTGGCTATTTAGTCAATGCTGAACAGTCACAACACATTATTTCTCACCCTTCTTATCAGAAAGAGGAAAACTTTATTACTGGTAATATCTACAATCTAAACATGTATTTACTTATTGACTCAATGAGGTGGATGTCTGACAGCATGTGAAAGTTATACACAAACATAATGTGCAGTACTGTATGTACAATTTATATACAGTGTTTGGCTGATACATACATATACTGACTTTGCATACATGTATTTAAAATGTTTTGTTTTTCAGGCTTGCTCTTGTCTGATAGCTGCCTTCCTTCATATAGACTGAGAATGAGACTGGAAGATGGAAGATTCTCTTTTACTATTAGTATTTTTCCCTTGAAGTCTTTTTTTTTTGTCACTTGTTCTAAGCTTTGACTAAAATGTCAATTACTTAAATAATTATACTTCCTAGATACCATTTAAAACATTTGAATGAGTATATTGCAATTGAAAAGCTCCCCACTGGCCTGCATTATGGTATTGGAACATTCTCTTTATCATTGCTATTATTCACCACTGTTCATTCAAGCCCCTGTAATAATCGATGCTTCACAATCTAAGTTTCCACTTAGCAGGCGACACACACTGACCTGTGGTCACATAAGCACTAGCTTCTGAAGGAGACAGAGGGACACTTTGACATTGATCAGGGTGTTTTAATCTCAGTACAATGAAGAGCCCCCTAGTTACTTACAGATCAAATGGCAGAAGCCAGCCAATTTAGATTGTGAACATGATTAATAGGATAATAATTGGATAAGCACACATCACATATCAAAACCCATTGCTTAAAAAAAGACCCAAAAAGAAAAAACACACACAACTAATCACTACTGAATAGTAATTTTTGACAGATATAATCAACCACACTGTACGTAACTAAGTTTTACGAAGGCAAAAATGTTATACACATAGTGACATTTTAGCTTTGCTTCAAAACTTAATTCTTTCTATGTATTCTAAGTATTATTGTGTTCATGACTACATACTTTAAAAAAAAACTAAACATGAATAAAAGTTAAAATAAAATCCCTAGATATTTAAGGAAAGACATTTTGGGAAAGACACTTTATTCGTTTTCTAGCCAAGAGTTATGTGTGGAAATGTAAATAATTCTCATATCTGTTTGGTAAATATGTACAGTAGCTGGGCCCAGCAGTTGGTTAGCATAGTTTAGCAGACTTCGTTTTAGAGTGTAGTCATAGGCATGGTTGCCTGGTACTGTGCCTGAGCACAAATGACAATGCAGCTTGAGTCCTGACGTAGTTAGTACGTCATCTTTTTCATTTGAGAGTCTGACTTGACCCAGGGTCTTCCCTAACCCTAACCATTTTGTTGCCGTGCCTAAATTTACAGTCAGGGTAAAGCAAAATCGGTGTTTGTTTCTAAACACATTATCAGTGTTAGAAAATAGTTGCTGAAAACATGTTAAAAGACTGAGAACTACGTAGTGTTGAACTGTGGCATTAGACCACTTCATTAATTTTTAGTTCAGGTTTTTATGGTGGGGCAGAAAGCACGGCTCAATGATGCACTGGAGCCACCCTTAGCATAACCCCTCTCCTCCGAAACTGTAATGCTATAAATCCTAGAGTACACAGAGCTCTATGTCTACATTTGTTTTTAGGAGCACTCATGAGACTGAGCACAGAAGAAAGGTTCTGGCCACTGTTATGTTAAAAAAACATTAATGCTGCCGCCTTAGCATTAAACAATGACAAAAGTAGGAACACATCAAGGGCGAGTGAGTTGGAGCAGGTCTGAACTGATCGTAGTTGCTGGAGGGATAGAGACATGAGGGAGCTAATGGCCACACAGTGGACCACGAAGCTGCTGCACTGCTGGTAGCCTAACAAGCTTGCAGACTGTAGACAAAACTTAAGTTTTTGCTTCTCTGTAAGTTTATACTTGTTTACCAGGTGTTTTGTTAAATTACTCCTACTGGCTTTTAACTAGCAAAGGTTTTATTGCATGAGCATTAATGAAGAAACGGCTCCATCTCTACTGCTGCAACAGCAGCCACCCGCTGCGTTTGCGTGTGTAGGGGCTGAACATCACCCACTCTTATTCAAACACCAACACGAAGGAGAAAAAGCTCCGTAAACACCAAAACCATATTTCTACTCTCATTCAGCAGTGTTTGATAAAATGTTCCTGTAGATCCCTAGCACATTAGCACCAGTTTGATCATGAGCTACTACACTTAGTACAGCCTACAGCTTGCTAGCTAGATGTTCCTTCGCCCCACAAATGCATGTTCTCCCTTAATATTGTACATCTATGATGGGAAAAGCTGACACATTTCCACGATTGGGTAGTTTCAATGTTTTATTTTTTCATGATTTTGAAAGCTGATTTCATATAATTGGTAACCATTTTTAATCATTCAAACTTGTTTGGGTGGTTAATAACATATTTTCCTGTGGTGTTACAAACTTAAAACATATTTATTTCCACTTTACCCTGTTTTTAACCATGTACCGTATAAGGAATGTCAGCCATTGTCTTTCATTTTCGTTGGCAGAGAGATATTCCCATGTCACACAGTTTTGAATCCAGAAAAACACTGGAATGTCACAATTTCCGAGGTGTTATTGTGAGAGTGGTTTGGTACTATATGTGTGTAATAAGATTTGATTAACAGTGGAGGCAAGACAAGCAAAACAATCCCAAAATGCATGACATGTTGATTTAAATATTGCTAAACTCTGATACTGTACATGATAACATCTTTTTACAACTGAACCTCATACACTTAGAACAAATACAGACATTTCTCATGTGAAATACCAAATCCAGTTCAGACTCTGGCAGGTCATAATGTATTCTTATAAGGCATCACCTGTGATATTGAGAAGCTGCTGGCAAAAATAGGTTTTATGAACCCTTAAGCTATTTCTAATTTTGTTCTGGATCCTCTGGAGACTTATAAGACAAGCTCACAACCCACTAATCTGTGTTCTAGAGTTTAAATGAACTTGTCTCCCAGTGACAGATCAGTACATCCTCCTTTGTATGCATTCTTAATCAAATGGGCTGCTCTTGCTTTATTAACTTACTTCAAGCTTACTTCAGATAAGCCCATCATTTCTAGCCACTTCAGAGAGGGAATCAGCCCCAGGAGGTGATGAGAGTAGAGTCTGGGAGCCCGAGATGCAAGCTTTAGGTCGCCGTGTTATTGTCTGAGGCTTGGCCCATGGCTCCAGAGCGAATCACTTCCTCTAATGGAAAACTATTGTCTGCCACTGAGGACACACAACTGTGCAGAATACAGATCAGCCTATCTGGACTTATGCACAAGACTGAATAAAACTCTCTAACCGATAGGAAGCTATTTTGGAATTGTAAGATCCACTGAAGTCGACTGCGATTAAGCAATACATCTGGAACAGAGTGTACTTTTGTGTGTGGTGTTTTCCAAGATTGTGCTAAAACATACAGAAAACCAAAAACCAGTATAAAAGAAAAAAAAAAACTACCTTTACTAGTGTACTGCTCCATATTTTAACTCTAGCATCTAAACCTGTCATAACAATGTAAGCGAAAGGCACTTGGTGAATTATTTATTCACCGGAGAGGACTGGATATAGGTTAATGAATACAGCAATATGAGATTAGAAGTGTCTTTGTCAGAAATATAATGTCATTCCCGTACCATATTGCATGATTTTTTTTTTTACTAATCTTCCCTGGTAGACAACAGTTAATATCTAATGTAGGAGGTAGATGCATCCCCTTTAATGAGAGTCTAAATCAAGAAAGACAGAGAGCCGGTTCACAGTCAGTTTAGAGCACTCCTGTGAATATGTAAAATCTATACAAAGCTGGGAAGTTCTGAAAGAAAAATTCGCTCACGGGTCATCCCAGAGGAGTAGGAACAGCATTTGCCTCACAGGATTCCTCTCTCCCTCTCTTTCTTCAGAGAATGACAATGTGTGTGGTAGGTGCATTATCTTGTTTTTCCCCTTTTCCTGCACCTTAACAGGTCACTTAATTCCATCACCCGCAGGATCCACCCCAGTCCAGGATGTGAACATTTTCAAGTCCACCATTTGACCAAGGGCAGAGCCTTTGAGAAACTGGGCAGCCTTTAAGGGATTTGATTTGACATTGTGTGGGCTTGAATGTTTAGAGGGAAACTCATGTGTGGTTCATCCAGTCTGTTAAGAAAGAAGCGAAAGAAGAACAATATGAGCTTCAACAAAAATGAAAAAGCAAAGCAGAGAAGGACATTTTTTAAAAATGTACTTCAAGGTTTCTCTTGTTAACACAATCAGTCAGGCATTACGTTTCCCTGCTGAAAACCCCTGCTGCTGCACAGGGTGTCAGTTTCAAGCTGCAGCAACAAGGACCCCGTTGTGGTTCAGGTGACAGAGTGCTCTTATGCACTAATTGCTTAGGTGCAAAGTGAGGCAGAGAGTCCAGCAGGACAGCAATCATCTGAGGGGATAGTGAAAGGGTGTACCAGGAGAGCTGCTGGTCAAGCCTTTGGACTAGGGGCAATTCTGAAGGATTTCATGAGCTCCGTAAAAATATTTCCAATGTTAAACATCCATCAAGGGAACATCAAGTTGCCCAAAAGTCACATTAAAATTTTATGTGTCATGATAATGCTGTGTTGTCTATACAATATTTTATTTTGTACTTCCTAAGGGTTTTCAGCTTGATACCGAAACATGTTAGGCCATCATTCAAGATTTTCTCTGAAGGTCACCCCTTCATCTGGCAGGATTTCTGTTATTAGATTGTTTCTGTTATTTAACCCTAGCTTTAACTCAAAGCCCCTAACCCCGACCTTATATAAATGCTTATGTGTATATTCACGCATATCTTAATAAGAGAACGAACATGAAAATTAGGCTAGTGCCATTTTTGTCCGGGGAACATTTTGAAGATGGTTTCAGAGGTTTACCAGATCCAAATTTGAAGTTTAAAATATTACATTTACATATACAAAATCATCAGAGACACCAGAGACGTAACATGCGTCTTCTAATAATTTACACAACTATGAGCCATTTTTCATCAAGCTTAATGGAAGTTTTTGAAGAACTCCCAAGAGTCGCTAGATCATACCTTCAAGTCTTTAATATTTATGACCCTTATTTTACCCTGTGTATCTTGTATATTATAACATTACCATACATGTCCCGGATTTGCCAGCTCTTATGGTTAACTCACCCACATTACTTTCAGTACATGTACATGCAGAATATCATGATAAACATGCAACACATAATGCAGTACACAGTAAATAACATACCTTTAGCACCAGTGAGATAATTGGATGGATGCCCTGGTAAAGCCGGGACATTGACCTAGAAAGGAATATAAACAACACAATGACCAAGCAAGTTCACAGCACTAATAACATGAGAACAATATCAAGACACATGTTTTATGGTTCAATTATTGTAACAGAGGATATATTTTATTAAAGTCTTAGGATAAAGTTATTTCACCATACAGTTCGCTGATATATTACTGCTATTTATCATAGTTTTTTACAGTGTTTTTGTTACAGAAATCTAATTATTCCCAGTGTTGTGGCTAAATTACGCACTTAACAGAGACAGGAAAACATATTACATTTAAGTTTAGAGAGGGTTTATGAGCAACTATGTTAGGGGAGAGGTTAAACTGGGTCATGTTGTTTACCTTGTGGGGTGGAGGTCTTTTTAAACAGCTACTGCCATCCTCTCTCTGCGGAGGTCAGCTGGGGGTCATTTAGAGCCTCTTTATTGGCAAAGGCAGGCTCTTTAAACAACTGGGAGAAGGTCACATGACCGGAGGAGAACAGAAAGAGCAAAACAAGAAGAGAGAGCAAATTCCCCTGATACTGAATTGAACAAGGCCTAGAGGAGGTCGAGGAAGCTTTCGTGTGGTGTTACGAGCCGTTTCTGTCAGGGTAAACACTCAGAAGGTTAATGTGTGTTTACTGATGATGCTTGACGTAATCAACGTTTGCTTCACATCGAATTATATGAACAAACAGAGCGGATAGAGTTTCAAGAGTGGCAATGTTGTTATCGTTAAATCCTCTAAATCTCAAATGGAGAGATTTCATACAAAATGCATCCCATGGCGTTCAAATACAAATAGGAATCTGTTCTTATCAGAATACCAAGGTCTACAAGGTCACAGGCAGCCATTTGCTGTTTGCACTGGTGGGTAAAACCATCTTGCTAACACTGTGGATTTGATGCTAGAACATGGGATGTTTTTTCTTTGTCACTTAGTTAAGATGATATCCATTGTATTTAAAATTATTACAGGCTTCTATGTGGTTTGCTAAACATTCCAAAAGTATCTGCCTTTATTCATTTGGGTTTGTTAGTTTAAATTATAATTCTTTTTTATGAGTCCATAATTAGTCTCTCAAACACAAGTGTCTTCTTTCAAAATGTTTATTCAGCATCAACAAAGAGGAAAATATTAAAGGGCTTACATAAGCTCAGAATCAATACTGCTGAACAAATCTCTAGATGGAAATGATTACCAATTCACATGTGATTTAGCATCTTAAAATTATTATGCCTATCAAGTCAAAGAAGTAGCTTGTTTTAAATCAAAATATGACAGCAAAATTACTTATTTAGAGCACCTAAAATCAATCACAAAAATTAAAAGCCTCCTGCACTGTTTTGTAGCTCTGGCTGATTGGTGTGCATAAAGTATGAGAGGGTATTTATTGATGTATTAAAGTGGATGTTTGGGGGCATAATCAATGAACACAACTACATAGGCTTTTCAGAATAAAACAGCTGACAATATCCACAGTTGCACATCATGCTTTTATAAGCCCTTTAACACTAAAGAACTATTATTTTACAAAAAGGAGGAAACAGCAATACAATATGTATACAGTATGACTTGTCTCTTTTGCGGTTTGTAAGTGTTTAATTTACACGGGACACAATTTCACCAGTTACCCCTCAGATAAAATATCTACACTACTGCACTTTCCTATGACTAAGCTACTACATTTTAAAGAGATCAACCACGCAGATCAAGGTTTGGAGAAGAGAGGGTGATAAGTCGCACTGGCAGCTGTGCAGAAACATTGTATTGAAAAGCTTATAGTGATTCACGAATCACTACTAAGTAAAATAGTTTGATACAATGTCGTTCTTCACAATCGCATAGCTGAGAAGGAAACTTAATGTACTACAAAGTCTTTCTTAATCTCAACATCCAGTCGATTTCTCCTAGAGGAAAGGATTTCTTTATACTGTTTATCCAGTGGGAGTATGTTTTTATAATCAGGGAAATGTCATTTTTGAAAAACAGGTTTTACTCATACAGTGTCTCACTAACACCATTTCATTTCTATTATAATTAGTTTACAATTCTAAAAAGGAGGGAGCATCCATAAAAAAATCCTTTACTTGGGTTGAAACAGCCATGAGGACTCAGGTGCAGGTTGTGTAAACAGTTCAATATCTGGAGTATGGCTGATCTCTGTACACTCCCTTGGTTGTTCGTGCTGACGGTGCCTTGCTGCGATTGTTTGCCCACTCCTCCTGACCTGATTAACAAGAAGAGAAAAGAAACAGATGGGGAGTGATTGAAGAGGCCATATACTTAAATCATTTATTGGTGACAACCCATGTAAAATCTTTCATGCTCTATGCAAATATTGTAGATGTGCTCCCTTAGTCGAAAATAACGCAACAGAATGTTGTGAGCGCTTTGAATGTGTCGTATTGATGTGGCTCATAATAACAAAAGCGCCGATTTGAGCTGTGAATACAAACATCGACTCACACCAAGAAGTTTGACTTTCACCTGGAAGGATGCATCTCAGATAATTGAATGAGAGGATCAAATAGCTACTTGAAAAAGACCCGTTTAGTGGCTCCCAGCAAAAATGTCACAATTACCATTATCCCGAATCAGCCCCTGTTCACCTCCTGGTACTGTCAATGTGAAAGTGCCAGTATTGATGGCACCCTTTGTCTCATCTTCAGCCAGTGCTGAAGCTTCCCTGGAGCTGAGGCTCAAAAAGGGTTGTTTTTTCCCTGTGTACAGGTTCTCTGTTGGCAGCACACAGCCAATACCCCTTAATTAAACCTGTCACCCTTTCACTGACAGTCACTTTGAAGAAATAGTCCAAGGTAACCTTGTGTTTCAAGAACAAGCATGCACATCAATGCTGTTTATCTGTTTTCTTTGAACTGTCACATTTTTTTGTGTGTGACCTATGTGGCAACATTTTTTTAGTTTATGCACAGGCATGCCACACTATAATGTGTTGAAAGTACTTAGTTCTTCCACTTGTGTGGCCATAATAGATGGGAAAGTTTTCATTAGCTTTGACATACATTCTAAAGCTTAAACTCTAAAGCAAGAAAAAAAGCAGATACACTGTCAATAAGGTCTATGAAGTAAAAGATACAATAGCCACTTATCACCGTGTTTTGTCAAATACATACATCTTAAAAGAAAAAAGTCTTCTCAGAACAACATGAATATATGTAATATAAATCCATACCTGAAACAATGCAGTGCAGTAATTAAAATAACTGCACTAAGTTGCTAAATAAGAATGCTAAAAACATTTACATATAAAGCATAAAATTTTAAAGTTGTAGCTAAGCTAACAGACACAGCGGTGCACGGTGGTCCGCTGCAGTTTCAGCACGGCTCTACTTGCAGCAGTACTGTTGGAACAGATTTTATTTTCGAGAATGAAATGGTTCACATCAAAACCAGAGTCCAAATAGCTGCTATAAAGAGTTTATCATGTATCCTATTATATGGATTTTCCATACAAAGGATGTACGTTACCTGAGATGGATCAACCCTCAGTGTACAGCAGCATGTACTGTACAGCATAAACACGTACTATATATTGGCTGAGTTCTCACTGCAGTGACTGTGACCTTGGCCCACTTTTTACTGTATCTTGTCAAAAGCCGACACAGTATTGTTGCACATTATTTCTCTGTTGTTAACTCTGGCTGAACTTCATGGCATCTTGAACTATATTTACAGTGCTTTTCAGACACAGTAAACAGCTTCCCAAGAGGAAAGCAGTCATTTAAAGTGGCCTTAAAATTAAAGCTGTGCTGTTTAGCTGATTGGAGAGAAAAACAGTACTGCATGATTGTGGCACAAACAAAACTCATCAGCATGCATCTGGTTTGTGTAGGTTCACGCATATGTTTTAAAATTGAATATTAGTCATATTTAATTCAATGTTTTAAAATTGAATATTAGTCATATTTAATTCAATTTACTGCCAAAAGATTTATTATGTGATGCGTGAACAGCAATAGGGGTATAGACCTAAGAGGACTACTGCAATGTATATAGAGGGTATTTCTGGATCCCAAGTAAGCATTTAATTCAAGGGACCATGGCTTACTACAGAAGAAATTACAAAGTTATGGACATAGAAGGGTAGCTCGCTCCTGTAGTTACCTTGAGAATAACTATCAATATGTTCAAATTAATCACAGTTATTGATAGGTACTGATTGGCTTATTACTGTGCTGTATTGTCTGCAAATCAAATAAAATTGAATGTTTTTAATTCAGTGGAAAACAGTTACTGGACTTTGAGAAAAACTAAATTCATAACTTTTGGGAACTGTGAGGCAAATACACAATATTCATGATAAATGATTTTAAAACTGAAATCTGTAAAAAATGTAACTGAAACTATGTACTTACATATTTGTATAAAATGAATGACATTCAAAATCAAGTTGCATTATATAACTTACACTGTTCCCAAACTGTATATAACTGTGGGAATATGGGGAATAAATATAAAACAAATACAAATTCAATTGTCATACTTTAAAAGAGGCTAAAATAAAAAAAATGTGAACAAACCTAACCTCTAACAACGAACAAACTCAATGGGCCGCATATAGAAACATTTTCAGCTGGGTCGTTAAGGAGTAGGCATGCTGACTGAAGGCAGGAGATGTGTGTAATACATATGCACGCACGCATATACAAGAGGCATGCACTGGAGCAGAGTAGTGAGAAGGAAGAATAAACTTGCCAAAAATCGGTTATGATACCCATATCGATTTTAAACCATTTGTGTTTTTTTAAATAGTTTGGTTCAACTCTGTGGTTTTCAACTAATGTAGCCATATTTCTTTTTTCCAGTTTGTGTTGGTTAATCTATACACCTCTACAAGAAAGTAAAACAGAACACATTTAGCACGGTCAGTAGCTGCATTCAAGAATCCAAGACAATTAGAAAAAGTTAATAGTAGGCTAAATGTATCCATGAGTTGTGAACAAATCACTTTAATCACGCTTGTCTTTGAAACTGTGCTGTAAAAATCAACTGCACACATTGTATGTGCCAGCAGGTTATTACAACCAACTGTTATGTTTTATAGTTTGGTGTAGTAATTAAGACATGAGGAAAGGAGAAGGTAATGTGATGTAGTATATGGAGCCACAAAGTACCTGTTGGGAGGAGGCTGAGGTGGATCAATAGGTACACATAACACAACCTATATTGTCATTAATGTTGGCGCAGTTGTTGCTAATCCTCCTGCTAGTGTTGAGTGCTATTTAAGGAGATGGTCCTATAGGTCGTATGACAGTGAAGGGACAATGACCATATAGGTCGTATAGGTTGGAGGACTTGTTGGTCCATGATATAACACAATTACCCAGGTACTATGGCAACTGAAATGAAGGCAGTGGTGCAGAAACTGAAACTAGAAAGTGATATTGTTCAGACAATTGACCCAAGATATATGGGCACAGGAGAGGTCTGTCACTCACCATACGAATCATATGATTCGCCACTGTGTCCATATTCATAGTAGTCATCTGAGCTGTAAACAGACAGAACAGAAGGTGAATACAAGAATAAACATGAAATAAGAAAAACATAATGCATTCTGCATCAAACAAATTGTAGTTATTAGCAAATAGATGGAACTTATTTTCAGTGTTATTGCAAAACATCAAAGTAATATTTATTACACTGCAATCACATATACAGTAATTTATGCAGTGGGAATAAAGAAAAACAAAGTGTGTTTTTTTTCTCAGATATACTCTGTTGGATTTAAAATAAAAAAAAAAACAAACAAGAGGTAGCTTTCAATCACTCAAAGGTTCAGCCACATTTGTGGTCCTACAAGGCAATTTCCTCCACCGTATATTTGCACAAACTTATTTTTCCATATCACTGCATATGGAGATCTATGAGAGGCGGCAACTTTAATGAAAAATAAAAAGATGGGGAGGCAAGTTGCATAGTGGATCATTTCTGGCTTCTTTATTTATTTCTTTATTTGCAGTTGCCGGTGAGATGCTGACAGAACAATCCTGCGTCAGTATCACTCAGTAACAGTGCTATCATTCAGGAGAGGCAATTCATCATAAGCCTGCCACTGAGCCGACAAGACCCATCACAGCTGGGTCCTCTCTGCCTGCCTGTCAGTCAGTCTGTCAGCAACAGCAGCACCTCTCTGCTCTCTGGATTAGAGAGCCGAAGGCACCATTCAAAGCCCCAACACGCCACATCTCCACCACCTGACTGCTGAGGGCAAAGAGGTGACAGTAATGTCACACCAGAGTGGAAGTAACGATTTACATTTTACTCTTGTTACTGTAATAGAGTAGCCAAACTGTGGTCCAAGAGCCAGTGCTGAGACACTCCACTCCCTATCAAATTACACCAGGAAATCAATTTCTACAAATTCAGTCTGTGAGGTAATTACTTATCTTCACATTTATTTTTGTTCCTCTGTATATGTTGTGCTTTAACTTAAACCAGCAAACCGAAAGGATAGGACCCAAATGCAGGTTAGCACTGGCAGGCAGGTAAAGTTTACCAGTTTATTGATAACACAGGGAAAAGAGCCAGGCCTAAGAAACAGAGCAGAGAGAACCAGGAGGAGAATCAGTCCAAAACTGGGGTCAGAAACATGCAAAATCCAGTACAACTGGGTAACACAAAAACACCAGGAAACAACACTAGGAATTAGACAGAACACAGAGGGCTAGAAAACTGAGAACATATAAACTACAGTACATACCACACTGGACAAATGACTAAAGGACAAAGGAAACACACAAACACTTACACAGAGGGAGCTAATCAGGGACTGAAGACAGGTGTGGAGGAGGGATGAACAGCAGAGCAGTGCTGGAAAGTAACTAAAGACTGGGTGTGGCATAGCCAGAAAAAACACAGCTGGAGAAAACATGGGGTGGAGACTGGAAGCATGACAGTATATGTTCCAATAAATTCACAAGGTGGTCAGTTGCTTTTTGCTAGTATACATAACTGCTGTTTAGCAGGTTTGCTAAACTGTATAGAATATTTTTTCTAGTGTTAGTATTAAATATTTTTAAGGCTTTTAGTGTACCGATAGGTACAGGAAAAAAATATACAATTCAAAAGGTACACCTGGTTTATATTTTTTTCATGCTAGCAAAATTAGAACAAACCACTCTTCAACTTAAATGGTTGGTTCATTCATATTATAAAGAACTTCTATTCCTCTTTTAAAACGTTTATCCTGATCAAATACATGTACAGTAATGCATCTTTTTAGACTTCGCTTCTAGATTATCGACAGCACCCACTGTATCCAGAGAAGCTCTATAAACTAAGCTTGGAAAGATGCATTACAGTTACATTTTTATTAATGGAGCTTTTCATTTTTGTCAGCACTTTGTTTTGCATCATTTTTTAAAAAATATAATAATTTTATGCTGTGAGCACTGTGAATTAAATTAATCATATTTGTTCTAATAGGGTGGAGGAAATCTCAAAAGATTAACTATCAAAATCTGGGCAGTGCATCTGTAAAATATATGCATGGCTAAACACCAGTAAGGTTAGTGAAACAAATGTTTTCTTGTAATTTGGGTAACCTGAGCCTTACTTTTCTTTGACCACTGATAACGTCTCTCATCGGCAACAACATGACAAACTGATTAGGTGTTATTGTTTTCTTCAGCTACTTCGTGGTAAGGATGAAGACAACATGGCCAACAGAGGACAGAGGGAGGCACTGTTTTAAGAGCACTTTATTGGTTCAGTGAGACATGAGACAGCTCCCTAAAGAGGCCTGTGCCCTAAGTCAGGCTTAGCATAAATTTTACACAGTTTATAATTCACCTACAAACAATACCAAGCCAGCAGCAGTAAAACAAGGCTTTCCCCCTGTGCTAATGTCATCTCCCTTGAAGAAGCAAGGCCAGCTGTGGTTGCTCTTAGTGTGCGGTTTGCAGACAGATCTCACAGCTGAGGTGCCACTGTGCATCTGACACTGATGTCAAATCACTGGAATATCCTTGACACCAATGACTAGCCGATAGAGACAGAGAGAGGGAGCAGAGAGACATGTGATAACTGAATGCATCTTTTGGCTTGTCATGTCGTGGACCCTGAGACAAGACCTGACAGGATACTAAATAATTAGATTTCACACTATGCTAAAATGCAGGGTTGTATTCCAGAGAGGTTGCCTTCAAAATAAACATCAATTTTTCTGAATGTCAGAAAATCAATTTGCCACAATTCAAAGGTGCTTGCAGGCATACTGTGAAGTATGTGAAATATTGGATAATCGGTGGCTCTGCTGTACAGCTCTGCCATATTCAATAATGAAAAACATCCAAATAACACAAGCCTGAATGTTACACACCACTGCTAACACTTTGTCAGAGGCTTGCATGTTGTAGGCTGTCAGCATTTTTCCCATCATTTATTTTCACTTATCTGGGAGCCAGGATTCCTGTAAAATAAAAGTTTCTGTGTTGTTATTGTAAATGCAGAAAGGACCAGTGACGGTAGTCTGCTTTGCTGAAAGCTGCCAGTGCAGACCTGCTCCTTGCACAAAGGAAATGAGTGCAGCAAAAGCTGTTAGGCGCCTCTAATTTCTGAGGTGACATTTCATCAATATTGCTACACAATTTCTCTCTGGTTACTATCTCTTCTCACTTACAGAGACTGGTGAGTCTTGAGACATTTCTTGAAGGTCAAAGATTCCTAAAATTCTGTTTTGTATTTTCAGCAGCATCTACTACCTTCAATCAGTGTTGTGTATTCATCAGGAATTTTAGCACACGAATTGAACTGATAGCATGGGTGGTAAGAAAATATTTGTTTAGGTTATTTTCTCACTTAAGTCTGTTCTGATTTTGTTAGTTTGATTAAAGTTACTGCTGCACTACAGTAAACATAAGTGAACTATATATAGTATATCGAGTCAGCTGACTAACGCCACTGACTTTGGTACGGAAGGTCAGGGGTTCAAACCCTGGTCAGCATCCACGGTCAATATCCAGCCTGGGTCCTTAGGCAAGGCCCTTAATGCTACCTGCCTATTACATGGGTAATGACAGTTGGAAAAATAAGAGTCACACCGGAAATCGGACATTGCCTGGGTCAACAAGGTCCGCGTCAGGTGTTGAGGAACCAGGGCAACCTGAAGAGAAGTGAACTGCTGGAAAAAGACATTCATGGACAAGAGATGAGAACAGGGAGCAATTGGAGATTGAGTACCAAGCAGCCCCAATAACAAGCCCCCGAGATAATCCAGCACATAACAGCGAGGTGCAAGATGCTAGCAGGCAGGGCATACATGGAATGCCATAACCAAGTGGCTGGCATAGTGTACAGAAACATCTGTGCTGAGTACAGGCTGGAAGTCCCAAAGTCAAAATGGGATGCACCTCCAATGGTGGTTGAGAATGACCAAGCTAAGATCCTGTGGGACTTCCAGATACAAACTGACAAACTGGTAATGGCCAACCAACTGGACATACTAGTGGTGGACAAACAGAGGAAGAAGGCCGTAGTGATAGATGTAGCAATCCCAAGCGATAGCAACATCAGGAAGAAGGAACACGAGAAGCTTGAGAAATACCAAGGGCTGAAAGAAGAGCTAGAAAAGATGTGGAAGGTGAAGGCACAAGTGGTCCCTGTGGTAATAGGAACATTGGGGGCTGTGACCCCCAAACTGGGAGAGTGGCTCCAACAGATCCCAGGAACAACATCTGATATCTCTGTCCAGAAGAGTGCAGTCCTAGGAACAGCTAAGATACTGCGCAGGATGCTCAAGCTCCCAGGCCTCTGGTAGAGGACCCGAGCTTGAAGGAAGGAATACAAGACCGCCCCAAAAAAAGTGGGGG